TCGTTGTGGAGAACAGCTGAAAAATAAAACTTTTACCGAAACCGCTCGGCATCACAGCGAAAACATTCCTCCCTTCCAGTGAACAATTCACAGCTTTTCTCCGCTCTTGTTTTAGTTCAAAACTTAAGTTAGAATTAACCGAAAGCTTGAGGAACGCTCCTTGAACAAAGTCCACAGAGGCCATCTTGGAAGTGTGAAGTGAAATACAGTAAGGTTGCACTGGATTCTGTAGCCTGTCATTTTTAACCAATCGGATCGCTGCGTTCGTCAGCGAACGCGGGGAATTCAAAAATCAATAGCGTGCAGGCTCACCTTTCCTCGCCCCATTCTTCTCGCCGGCTTCCCTGCCTTGCGGTTGCGGCTTTGCGGCCCTTGCCCTCGATACGCTACCCACACAACAAGTGGGCCTGCTCGAAGGCTAAAATAAGGCGAACCATGGCTCGACTAAACTTAGCTAATATGCTGCCGAAGCGAACCAAAAAGGTACGATCAATAGTGGTAATAAGACTGGATGGAGTCCAATTCGGTCTGTGATCATACGAGTAATTAACAAAATCGGACGACCGCAAGCCGGCGTCCGATTTGTTAATCACGAGTATGATTACAGACTGCCCGCCCGCGAATTGTACGACACGATGTCCTGCTACCAATTAATCATGAGTTACAATTTCTCGCAAAAGTAAAAGTTTCATTTGAAAAAGAGCTTTTAATAGTCATTTTTAAATATCGCAAAATGGCCGTTAACTTTCTTTCAAAACAAACACCGGGGACTTGTACGGGTCCGCAAATGATCCCAGGACCGCAAATGATCCCGGACCGGAAATGATCCTCGATAGGGACCGCAAATGATCCCAAATAAAAAATAAGGAATGGCATGGATGGTAGGATGGTATGGATAGGGAATTGGCGTACGTGAATACCGATGTTTTTATTAGAGCCATCTTATAATTATAATTATAACTTGCTTTTTTTTTCATACTTTCGTCTAAATTTTGTTGCTAACTACGATGTTATGAATATCACCACTCAATCATCAAAACACGGCTTGGCTTGCATTTCTTTGCAATTCTCAGTAAAATTATGATCAGTGCAACATACTCTACATATCCTCCTTTGTTAAACATTGATATTTCGGTGTTATAGTGAAATCACATTTTACGGGTGGTAAAGGGGGGGGGGGGGTATAGATCACATTTCACGGAAAATAAAGCAGACCTTTCACAAAAAATACAACATTGGCATTTCACGCTTCACGAAAAATGAAAGAGAACGTTTTGGAAAATCACGGTTCACGGTGACTATGGAAATCACGATTCACGAGGGAAAAAATGGCTATTTCACATTTCACAGGAAATAAAAAGGGCCGATCACGGGTCACGAAAATACCCTTTACCACCCTCTTTTATCAGCCATTAACGCCACTCGTCTCAAGTTTTAAACTAAAATCTAACCATGAAGCAACTATTAAGGAAGACGCTGTCACCCGAGTAGACCCACAAGCTTACAACGCTTCATCACTCTGTAAAACTCCTAGTGTGTAGCACTGGAAATTTGAACAAACTTATTTTGTAACTTTTCCTTGGTCGTATTTTGGCTTTAATTCCTCGGAAATGACTACTTGAGTATTCTACGAAGCCAAAATTCCAAGCTATAGTTTTGAAGTTCAGCTTCATGACCAAGCAAGGGCAAGGCTCCCGCTTCGTTTTGACAAGTTGGCTGTTTGATAGATGTTTGATACTATCGCCACCGGGATTTCGAGAATGTTTACAAGTATGTGTTTTTCTAAGACTTATAATTCAATAGATCGTCTTGACGTGACGTGTTTTTATCCTCATCAGGCATAAGAGGTGGTATATTTCTGTCTGTTTACAATTCGCGTGCTTCGTTTGGAAACCAGGGCATTTTGAATTTCAGGGTTATGGAGGTTGCGTGACACAAGGCTACGATCGATTTTTGGAAAAATATATACTTATCTCATGATCTTGAGCCATATTAGAAGTTATAGCATTAGGAAAAGTGCTTATGTAAATGCTTGTTTGTTTAGTACTGATAATCAGTTGCCTAGAAAGCCAAAGTAAGTTCCAGATGTTTACGTATACCAACATGGCGTTTTCTTACTGGGCTCTGTAAATTTCTGGGGAACATTTACGACGAATTTCTGAAGTTTGGGGAAACGCACAAGCCTAAAACTTGGAGAAGTGTCTTATTTAGTTATTTTCTATAGTGTACATCACAATTTCTTAGCTTTTTCCACTGGTTGGTTTTCGATTTATTATTTTTTATCGCGTGACAGTGAAAACGATCTGTACCGTTCGAAGAACAAAACAGCAACTGTGGAATATATATATTTTTTTAAATGATAAAACATGTTTTTTAGTTCACAATTTTTGTACATGTTCTCACCTTCCTCTGATATAAATCCATGCCATTCGTCATTTTTTGATCGGGATCATTTGCGGTCCAATATAGGGATCATTTCCGGTCCGGGATCATTTGCGTT